GTTCAGGGATTTCTTATATTCTGTAAAGTCGTCTTCAAGCTTTCCTTAAACTATGCCTGAAGAGTAATCTATGTGTTCTCTTAATGCTTGCTGCTAAAATAGGTTTTCATGATTATTTCTACAAAATTACTTTTTTTTCCTTCTACTCTGCCGCTGGCTTTCTTGTGTCTTTTTTTTTTTTTTTCAAATTCACTCAGAGAAGATAAAACTATTTCAAATAGTGCCTTAATCAGAGGTAGAACTACAAAACTGCTTGAAGCTTGCAGTTAAACTGAAATAGGACTCTGGTATATAGTCCAGCATCTGGAAACCAACAATAAAACAATAGCAAATAAGCACCTGGTAGGTGACAGGTACTGTGCTAAGATACATGTGTGTGTGCATGTGTGCGCACGTGTGTGTTTGTGTGTAATCTTCACATCAATATGAAAATTCAAGGCTCAGAGAAGTTAAGTAACTGGCCCAAGATCACATGGCCAGTGACAGGTAGAGCCAAGATTCAACTCCAGTGTCTGAATCCATAGTGATGAAAAGTGAGTCCTGGATTGAAACTACTGGAATTCATGTCCCAGCTCCAGCACTTCAAAATTGTGTGGCAATGGGCAAGTTATTTAACCCCCCTTATATCTCAGTTTCCTCATCTGTAGAATGGAAATAACAGTATCATATCCATAGGATTTAATGGGATGATATGAGGAGATGCTCAGAATAGAGCCTGGCACATAAAGGCTCAAAAACTGTTAGTTATTATGGCTTCAGGGGACATTTTAGGGCTTCTTTCACATCAATGGGTGCTATTACTAGTCAGATTCCAAGTTTCTTTCTTTCTTTCTTTCTTTCTTTCTTTCTTTTGAGATAGTGCCTGTGCACATGTCGGGGGAAGGGCGGAGGCAGAGAGAGAGAGTCTCCAGCAGACTCCCTGCTGAGCTCGGAGCCCAGTGTGGGGCTGGATCCCATGACCTGAGAGCATGACCTGAGCCAAAATCAAGAGTCTGACGCTTAACCCACTGAGCCAGCCATGTGCCGGGATTCCAAAGTTTCTTTAACATTATGTTCATCTGGTTCGCACCCTCTTTTTCACGTGCCCTTCTCACCTGCCAAACTGACTCACTGATTTCCCAGTGCTCCCACTATTGGCTGCCACCTGGCTTCCCTCCGGCTATTATGGCCCAAGTGAGACTGTGCCTCCTCTTCCTCGATGGGGTGTTTGATTTTCTCAACCTTCATAGCACTTTGTATTTATTTATAATTAAGAGTTCTTTTTTTCCACCATATTGAGGTTGAGTGGGACACCCTTTAGATAGCCGGTTGGTGATATCTAGTGGGTAGTTGACTCAAGCCTGGAGCTCCAGATGAAGGACAGGAAGGTGGGCATACAGGAAGTCCTCAGCCTACAAATGGTATTAAAGACTCTAAAATGTAGAGGCTGAAATGAGGAGGAAGAAGAGTCAGCCGAAGAGGCTAAAGAGAAGCAGAGAGTGTAATGGGAAAAAGCTCCTGGTGAAGGTGGTATCACCAAAAGCAACAGAAGGAAGGGTTTGAAGGAGAGAGTAGCCCGCTGTTGAGTGTCAAGTAAGACATGTACAGAGACCCGAGGAAATAGCCACATGAACGTCATTGCAAGAGGAGTTTGCGGAAGGAATGAGGACCAAGACCCAGGAGGAGTGGATTGAAGGGGGAGAGTGTGCAGTCAGAAAGTGGAAACACCAGCCACACGTGACTCTTTCAAGAAGCTTTGCCAGCGATGGAGGGCCAAGTGATAGATGGGGAAAGAGGTGAACCGAGGGAATGTGGAGGTCACAAGTAGCTTCTTGTTTAAAAGAGCGCACTAGGGCATATTCTCTTCCGATGTGTATGCTCCAGGAGACGTAGAAGTGGCTGCAGGTGGGGAGGTCACCGAGTTGGTGACAGAGGCTGAGATCCAGAGCACTCAGGGAGAGAGAGGATGGTCTTTCATGGGTGCACGGATGGTCCCTTCACTAGGGATGGAGGGAAGGCCAAGTAGGTGGGGTAGTTGGGCACTTAGAGGAGGTAATTTCTACATGTTTGTTTTTATTTCTCAATGAGATATTAGGTAAAGTCATCAGCTGAGAAGGAGGGTGGGGCTTAGCAAGTTTGAGAATAACAAATAAAGAAGAAGGTGTGAAATAGTTACTTTGAGCAGTGGAAAAGAAGCATACCAGAGAACTATAGGAGGACCATGGGCAGTGCTGAGCGCCGTTTCGGGAACTGTGGCCATTAGTTATTCAAATGAGACCTGTTGGCAGAATTGGATGTTCTTCTCCTGGAATGTTCTTTTTGTTCAGGTACAGGCATAAATAAATGGATGTCCAGGTTTAACCATTACAGCTTTGCCAGAGGAATTTGACACAGGAAGAGGGGAGTGAAAGAGTCAAGGGTATCTGCAAGATTGTAATTATAATAATAACCATGAACTGTAACTGAGGAAAAGTGGGACATGGGGACGTGAAGACACAAAGGGGTGACTGTCATCATGGTGATAGGCCGAAGGATTGCAGGTACCACGAAGTAGAAGAATAGCGGGAGTCAGTCCGGTGGAAGAGTATAAAGGTTATGGTTGTAGAGCGGAAGGCTTGATATCGATTCTAGAGGAGGTGTGGTCATTGGTGCTGAGGAGGTCAAGGGTATGATCATGGGAGTGTGTACTGAGGAGGGCAAAGAAAATGATCTTGGATATGAGACAGTCCAAAGTCAGAGAGACCAAGAATACTGACGCCAGGATAATGGTGATAGGAGTAGGGTGTGGGAAAAAGAGAGCATGAAGGTTACTGAAGTCATCTGTGAATGGGGGCAGTGACAGTGTTTGCTAAATGTCAGCAGAAGGAAAGCTTGGGTTTCTGGGGGTAACTGGGGGTGACTAGGGATGTGAGGTGTCCTGGGATAGGTCCTGATAATCTCCAGGCAGAAGGTGGGAAATCTGCTGAAGCTGAACAGCCTGGGGCCCTGGGGCTGCCGAGCTCCCCAGCACAGGACCTGTGTTTGAGTTTAGGCTCCAACAGCCACTAGCTGTGTGAGTTTGCGAAAGTCAACCTGCTTATTCTCATCCGTCAAATAGAGATAAACGTTCAATGACTTGCCTCGTTCACAAGGATCATTTGAGATAATGAATGTAAAAGGATTTTGTAAGCTCTAAAGTACCCTTAAAAAGTGAGTTAAAATTTAAAATGTATATATCGTAACATTATGACTTCTAGCCTCTAAACTAGAGCAAGATAAATCACTTACTCCTCTTTTTGTCTGCCACAATACCTAACCTGGATGCTTGTGTTCTAGAGTTTGCAATGTTGAATAGTACTGAACAGTAAAAGCTTATAAAATGAATTAGAGCCTGTGATTAATGCCTTCTGTGTTATTGTCAACATGGCCATGAGCATCGTCTAGCAGTAATGCTTTAAAAATTCTGAAAAAACAAAACGAAAAACAAAAAAATCTGTTTTTTCTTTTCACCAAATCCCCTGAAACGAAGACTAAAGAAGCATTTCTTAAGGTTAAAGGCCTAAAAATGTTTATGCATTTTGACCCAATAATTCCATTCTCACTTTTTAAAATCTTTTAATTCCACTTAACATTTATACAGAAAAATGCAGAAATCACAAATGCACATATGAGTTTTCACAGAGGGAACACACTCACGTAATTCGCCTCACTCATTGAAATTTGATGCCAGAAAATATTCCTCTGGATGAAAAAGCTGTGTTCCTGAGGACGTTGGCTCAGTGTTACAGCGGAAAACGCTAAATGTTAGGTGGAGGAATGACTCGGTAAATGTCGGCACATAAATTCAGTGGAGCAGTATGGAGCAATAAAAATGATAGTTTTGAACTGGAGAATGAAATTCACAAAACTCGAATGCCCCTGGGGCAGGCTGGCAGGTGAAATCCGAGAAGCAGCGTGCTCTGAAAGACGGACGCGGTAAAGATATGAAGGGGGCGGGGGGGGGGGGGGGGGGGGGGGCCGTGCCTAGACTTCCACAGGAAAATGCTCAAGAAAGCAATACCCTGGGGAGCCTGGGTGGCGCAGTCAGTTAGGGGTCCGGCTCTTGGTTTTGGTGCAGGTGGTGATCTCAGGGTCGTGGAGTCGAGTCCCACGTCAGGCTGTGTGCTCAGCGGGGAGTCTGCTTAAGTTTCTCTCTCCCTTTCCTTCTGCCCTTCTCTGAAGTCAATCGATCAATCAATCAAAAAAAGAAAAAAAAGTAAAGCATAGTGCTGACCAAACAAAACGTGCCCCGGGCCTAGTTTTACACGTAGGCCTTTCATTTCTGACCCTCGCTGGAGGTAAAGGAAAATACAGGCAACATAAACCCACCAGGTATGGCCATTGTTGTGGCTGCAGCAAGGGAATTTAAAAATGCCTCCTTCACAGAGCTGTTGTAAAGGTTAAGTGCGTCCCCTTCCTTTGCCTCTTCTTCCTTGTTATTTTATTTTTCTCATTAATATTATTTCTGACTCCATATCCCACTCTCCTCTTCCCGACTCCAGCCACACTAGCCATCTCAGTATTTCTCCAAGGTGTTTTAGCCTCAGGGCCCCCATTCTCTCCCCCTAGTGTTGGCCTCACTTCATGTGGGTCTCTGCCCAGAGGACACCTCCTCTCGGGAGTGGCTCTCTCTCTCCCTCTCTCCCCCTGCTTTGTTGTTCTTCATTGCACATGGCGCTGCCTGACATTTTATTGTCTATGTATTTTTTAAGTTATCTGTTTATTCTCTCCCCTAGAAGGTAAGCTCTAGGAAGGCAGGAATTTACCTAACTTGTTTAATGCTGTGTTCCCAGTTCCTAGAAGGCCCCTGGCGCATAATAGACATTCAGGAAGTATTTGTTGAATACCGTTGAGTGTTCAAGGTAGAACCATCGTGTCTTATTTTTTCCTTTTCTCCCCAAATCTCAAAAGTACGTTGTGTAATTAGTGATCTAAAGAGACATTTCTTGCAGATGACTCGAATGTGTAAAACTCCTCTTTGTCTCTCCTAACTTGGGTGACAGGTCAGCCGTGCAGAAGCTGGGAGCAGAAGTATTTGAGAAGGTCTACAACTACCTCAAGAGAGCAAGGCGCCGGAAGGCCAGTGAAGCTGAGATCCGGGCAGCTCTAGAAAAAGTGGTGCCTCGTGCCGGTGACTGTTTTGAAGTAGACCAGCTCCTGTACTTTGAGGAACAGTTGCTGATCACAGTGGGTAAAGGGCCCACACTCCAGAACCCTCACCAACAATTGTAAAAACAAGCAAGTCCAAGGGGACAAACCCATTCAACACATAAGCTGGACTTTATTATGGGAAATGGGTACAATGCCAGGGCTACCATCTTTATTATCAGTTCCTTGTCAAGAGGAGTGAGTCCTTTAGAGAGTAGTAAACCTGTCTGCCTCTACTCTGAGTCGTGGGCCAGTCAGTGTTTGTTCTATACTCTGAGGAAAGCTTGTGGACCAAGTGTGGCTTCCTGAAAAGCATTCCCGCAAGTGTGCCCTTGGTGCTTCCACAGGGTTGGACCCCCCCCCCCCCCCCCCGACGGCTTGGAAGATTCCATCTACCCTTGACCATTTCCACTTGGAGGACAGGCTCGGTGCTTGCCTGCCTCGAGTCCCCGTGCTCTATGGTCAGCCTGCTCCCCACTTACGTCGCTGAACACTGGCTTCTGACACACTGAGCTGCTGACCGGGAGTCACAAATGTTTGTCTCAGGTGACCTGTTTTGGGTCCACTTTTGCCCTTGCCTGCTTAACAAGCAAGATGTGCATATATAGATATATGGACCTGGACTAAAAATCTAAAAAGCAATTCTCTTCTGTGATTGATTCTCCAAGCTCATTCTCGGAGTATTGAAGACTTTTATTCTTAATAAAGATATTTCACATGATTACAAAATAAATCACCTATTTTATCGTTTTCTTATCTAGAAGTATGTTGATGAATGTAATGCGTCTGTGTAATTATTATTACCGAGAGCAGCTAACATTTGATTTTTGGGGTGCCTATTATGTGACAGCACTTATGGCTTTAAGGGCCTTCTGTCATTGGATCTTTTCGACGAGGAGAGGAGAGATTACCCCCATCTTTTAGCTTATTTACTGCTTATTTACTCAGCTACCAGAGCTGAGCTGTCACCCCGGGTCTGTCTGATTCCAGCGCCCATGATCTTAACCACTCTGCATGTGGGCTTTCAACCAAGAAGCTACATCAGACTTGCTCGAGGAGCTTCTTAAACATACACACGTTTAAACATACCGTTAAAGAATTATCCTGACACGTGTGAAAACAGTAGAGAAGACTTTATTCAGGACGATTGAAATAGGGGAGAGAGACGGAGCTCAACGCCAAATGCAGCACAGAAAGCTGGAGATTTAGACCCCGGGGTGGGACGGGGCACAGTAGGGCTCAAGGGATGTAAAGGTACAAAGAGAAGACACCTAGGGTAGGGGAAATTGTTGTCAAACCGACTTCACAGGACTCTTGCCGAAGACAGGCCAGGGTGACCCATTAGCAGGGGTGGGGGATTCTCACTAAACTGACTTAACAGGATTCTGGCTGAGCTGGACTCAGCAGGCTGGAGACAGGGCCCAGGTGGAGGCCCAGCTGAACTAGCGCTCAGGGGAGCCTGTCTGAAGTTCCGTCAAGGAGAGAACCTTTGTCAACACCCAGCCTTCCCCGCCTCCTTTCTCTGGGGAGGCACGGGGCCAAAGCCTATCTTCTGTTACAAAACGACCTGGTGAATGTGACGCACGCATTACGTAGTGGTCAGCATTCTGCCTTCCGCTAACGATGGAGGACACTGAGGCAGCGTGCCTTACCGCCCCGTCATGGCTGGTGCTGTGCCCCCCGCACAATGCAGTGCCTTCTAGACTAGTGTTTCTCACCTTTGAGCATCAGGATCACCGGAGGGCTTGGTAAAACAAATTCAGGGCCCATCCCCAGCACTTCTGATTCAATAGGTCTGGGTGGAGACGGAGACTTCACGTTTCTTACAAGTTCCCGGGTGATGCTGATGCTCAGGTGTGAGAACCACGCTCGACCACTGTTTGAGACCCTTCCTCCCACTGCTTCTGCCCCCGCGGTTGGAGCAGTGCTTGGGTCTGCTCTGCTGGGGGCCTGACTCATCTCACTAACATCTCTGAACGTGGTATGAGGACTGGGAAGAAGGGCCCAAAGCCTTCAGCTGCCTTGCCGTGAATATACTCTGGAGAGGCAGTGATTGGGAGGGAAAAAGTCAAAGTGTGACTAACGTGGCTTCAGGGAGTTCGATGGGGTCGGTTCAAGGACAAGGGAGCATGGTCACCGTGCTCTATGTCTCATTCCCACCTCTGCCCAGCAGCCAAGGGAACCACAGGAACCCACAAGCTCTGCTGTGCTCCAGGCCTTGTGAACATCACTGTTCTGTGTTCCCTCAACTCCTGTACTCCGTGGAGACGTGCTGGGGCCAGCACGGACCTTCACTCTGCCTCTTCCCCAAGCTAGTGATGCCCACCCCCCTCCCTCCCTGCATGCTGGGCACTTGTCCCTGGCTGGCAGGTGATCCTCGTGCTGCTGATCTCACAGCCCCTGCTGGTCTGGGGCAGGAAAAACAGGCCTCAAATAGTGTCTCCTTCCTGCGGTTGGAATCTGAGACTTTGCAGAATTCTGACCTTGAGCATGTTGTCCAAGCCCAAATCCAGAACCTGTGACCACTTCCAAGGTAGAACACTGAAGATCAGGTTTGTCCTTGGAGGCCTAGGACATTTCCATTATTCTGACAGGGAAGAGACCTCAGCCCCTGGACGGGCTCCACAGAGCTTCCCTATCCTTTTATGACCAAACAGATTTCAAATGGATCTGGAAGAAGGGGACAATAGTAGCAAGTTATAAAAGCTTCTGAATCTTCTTACTAGTGGTTTTCATAACATCAGAACAGAATACTTGTGTGAGTTTCTAGCTATAAGAAATAGCTAGATTTCAAATAGCCTCTGCCATCTTTCACAGATGAATGTTCCCCAGGAACAACACCCTGGATTCAAGAACATGTTAGGATCATTCCTCTACCCTTTAGGCTCTGTGGCTGGGACTACAAAAAAACTGACAAAACAAAACAAAACAAAACAGATTAACAGGAGAAAACCACCATTTGCTTCACTGGGAGTGAGGGTGGTGGGTGCAAGATTGAAGGTAACTAGAAAAAAAAATCGCTTTTTATTATTACTATTGGGAAAGTACTTTCTCCTTCAGCCCGGGTCAGTCTGGATTTGGGGTGACTCCAGGGTTGGTATTAAACACTAACCAAACTGCAAGAGTGTGGTTCACTGGGTGAACTGCAAGATGGTGGGTGGAAACTGGCCGGGGGATTAAGGAAGGCGGAAGGTGCTGTTATGAAACCATCACAAGTATGAGGGAATAAAGGGACCCCGCTGGCTTGCCGCTTTGTAAAATACATATATATATTTCACAAACACCAAATGACCTTTCTGCTTTCTATTTATGCAGAGGAAATGCCATCAGCTATTTTGGATGGTGCGGAGATAAGGCACACACAGGGGAGTGATAGAAGTTAATTATTTAATGTATTTGGGGCTGAGGCTGGAGCAAAAGCTCTAGGTCTGTTATAAAGTCTGGCCATCACAGTGGGCTCAGGATAAAGGAGGCTGACAAATTAAACAGGAGCTGCAGGGGGGAAACACCCCATTCCTCTTTCAGGATGATGGGACCACTAACTAATGTGTCAGAAGATCGGGCCAGGAGCAGAGCGGCCCCAGCCAACCTGTAGAGTCACCCCAGCCAACGAGGAATAAAGCAGAACTGCTCCAGGCGATCTGGAAACTCGGGCCAGAAGCAAATGTTCATTGTGGTAGGCTTCCCAGGTTCTTTGTTTATTATGCAGCATTATTATGGCAATAAACTAACCGATATACCCGACACCACTCTCTACCCCTTCTCTTAACACTTTTTATCAAGTCCTCAGGCTTCCTTCTTTTTGGCATTGATTTTTATAAATTTGGGGGAAGTTTCCTTCTAATGAAATGATTTAGTGGTTTCTCAGAAAAAATGGGGATCCTCTTTTTCAAAATGGTGAACCGTGAACTCTGTCCTTCCTGGCTTTCAGCACATTTCCAGACAGTGTGGTGCAGGGGCTTGGAGTCCACTAACACCGCCTCATCTGCAGATAGGGTCTAATACTTCTTTGGATTTTACTTCGATGTGTATTTGAGTTCCCACCCCATACCAGGGATTTAGGCACACAATTTTGAATGATAAACATTCAACAGGCAATGGAAACAGCCAAAATGTCTGTCAACGGGTGGATGGGTAAAGGAAACGTGACATATTTATGTATATACACAGCGGAATATTATTCAGCCTTAAAAAGGAAGGAAATCCTACCATTTTATACAACATATGCTAGTGAAATAAGCCAGATACAGAAAGTCGGATGCTGCATGATCTCACATCTATGTGGGATCTAAAAATGTAAAGCTCAGAAGAGCAGAAATTAGAATGGCAGTTGCCAGGGCTGGGGTTGTGTTGTCAGATGTCGGTCAAAGGTTACAATGTTTCAGTAACACAGGGCCAGTGAGTTCTGGAGACCTAATGTACAGCATGGTAACTGTAGTTAAAATATTGTATTACTGTACACTTGAAATCTGCTAAGAATGTAGGTCCTAAGTGTTCTTACACACACACAAAAATGAAAATGGTCGCAATGGAAAGTGATAGGTATGTTAATTAGGTTGATTGTGGTAGTCATTTCATAGTGTATATCAAAACATCACCATATGCTCCTTAAATATATACAGTTTTTGTCCATTATACGTCAGTCAAGCTGGGAGAAATTTCATCAGGCAAATACGAGGGAGGAAAAGATCTCGCAGGCCTGAAGAACACAAACATGGAGGACACAGGACACAGCATGTGCGTTCTGGGAGTTTGAAAGCTGTTCGTGCTGGTGGTACATAAAGTGAGGACGATTACGTGAGGTTTGAGAGGAAGGCATAGTGGGCAGGCTCCCAGGAGCTCCCAGGCTCCTCCCCTCTGGGATTCCTGTCTTGTGCAGTTACTGCTCCCATTGCCTCATGGTGGCCTGCGTGACCAATACAATACTGTAGAAATGATGCTGACTTCTGTGACTAGATCATAAGACATGGATTCCATCTTGCTTTCTCTTGGATCACTCATTCTAGAAGATGCCAGCCACCATGTCTCGAGGACACTCGAACAACTTTATGGAGAGATCTATGTGGCATAAAATTGAGGCTTCTGCCAAAAAGTCATCACCAAGTTGAGCCACCGGGGAAGCAAATTCTCCAGCCTTCGTGAAGCCTTCATTTGACTGCAGCCCATGCTGACATCTGCACTAAGACATCACAAGAAAACCTGAGCCAGGACCATCCAGCTAAGCCATTCCTTAATTCCTGACCCATGGACACTGAAATAGTAAGTGTCCACTCTGGTGTTGTCACTACATTTCACAATATAATTCAGTAATAGATCACTCATCCA